CCTCCCCGCCTGCTCCAGCCCAATGACACTGGAGGTGGCGGGCGCCAGCTCCGAGCCGGCTCCTTCTCTTCCCTCTCTCTTCCTACCCTCCCCCCACACACACACACCTTTCCCCTCTTCCCCCCTCTCCCCCTCTCGTCCTTTCCTCCTCCCTCCCCTCCCCACGTCGGGAAGGTTCTGCAGTGCAGTAAGTGCCTGAGACTCTCTAACCTGAAATGGCATGAAGAGTGCCCGCCAAACCCGAACAACTGGCGCTTCCTGAGAGTCTCCCACATTCCACCAGCTCCCATTCTCTGTCCCAGCTCTCTCCCCTTCCTGGTTAGCGGGGTGCTAGGATTTCCATCAGTAATCTCTCTAGCCCATTTCTGCTTCTCTCTGTGTTTGCATTTTTTCTCTCCTCCTACTTGTGTCTCCATCTATGAGGCAGTCAGGAGAGATTTGTAAACATCTGGCTCTACGTATCCAGACCAAGTCAGACTGAGAGTGACCTGCGACCCCTCAGTGTCAGTCCCTAGTTCTTCCTGGGCTCCTGGGCGGGAGGTGGTACAGTATAAATTGTGCAATTGGAGCCCACAGCCCTAAGGTTCTCATTCTCAGAAAAGTGACTCATTGTGAGCTGAGAATATATCCCAAAAGAAATCTACTCTAGGAGCCTGGAGTTTCTCAGCCATGGCATGCTGTGATCTCTCTGATACGTTTCTCCTCATAATTACAAACAGGTTATCCTTCACACCAAATGCCTTAAAGGATTAAGCACAACTCTGTAATGCCACTGCCCCTCCCCCACCCCCAGCATCCCTCTCTGCAAACACATCACTAACTCTACACAGTAAACGACCAGGCATGAGAGAGAAAAAGAGGTTTACTCAGAACTACAGTAATCCCAGTTTCTGAACTAAGAAAATAAGAAAAAAAAAAACTTAATGGAATTTTAAAATCTATGAATGTAAGCCTACATCCGCAAGATGATGCAATGAGGTCTTGGAAATGTTCTCTGGGACCACTCTTTACCTAGAGTGCTTTATCTCTGACTTCTGACTTAGGACTTGATAATATACTTCATCATCATTGTTGAGTCCCCAGGGACCAGAGAATAGGTGGGACAGTTCTTTTTGCTTATCTCTAATGAGGTTCTCAGGGAATTTGGTCCAATGGACTTGGAAGCTACAATAAATACCCATCTCTAATTTCCCCAAACATCCTTCCTGCTCAGAGGGCTATGGCCACGAACCTCTGCTCCTTATTTGCTCAGGAACTACCTATATTTCCAAGACTTTCCAGACCTTATAGTGAAGAGAAGCATTGGCCAGTTCCTCATAACAAGATCATAACAGTGGAGCTGTCAACATTTCTTTGCTAGTGAGTGAAGTTCTTTGAAGAACTTCCTTCCAGATCTAGGAATAATAAGAGTCCTGAATCCATCAGCTGAGCTTGAGATAAACTCAGGAATAATTGGCTGTTTTTTGTTGTTTTTTTAAATCTCTATGAGCTTCTGAAAGAGACATGGATAATGGTAGAGAAGGGCTCTGTATGTGCCTGTGTATTTTTATGTTATATTTAATATAATAGTTTCCTACTATATCTCATGTGGGCTTCTATTTCTGAATTTTGGCTTAACTCTTTAGGCTTAACCTATTGGTCCCAAAAGTATTGGGCAATTGCATTACCTGTCTGCCTCCTCATTCTAGAGCAATTAGGTATGTACTTTTAAGCATGATGAGTACCTATCCATTCAATTCTATTCACACAACCATAGATAACTATGCTAAAAATCAACAGCAGAAAACAAAAAGAGGCCATCCCAGCGTTAAGAGATATTCCTACTGGTGAAATAAACCAAATGTTCTTTCTTGCAGCTGAAGAATTTCACACCAAAAGCTGAACTGTATGTAGACTAACATCAGACCTTTATTATAACTGTTGGATTCGATTTGCTGATATTTTAAAGATTTTGGCATATATGTCCATGAGAGATAATAGATTTCCTTTTTTGTAATGGCTTTGGTATTAGGATAATGCTGGTCTCATAGAATGAGTTAGGAAGTAGGTATTCCTTTTGTTTCTATTTTTGGTAAAGATTGTAAAGAACTGGCATAATCTCTTCCTACATGTTTTTTTTGTAGAATTCAGCAGTAAAAGCATCTGGGCCCAGTGCTTTGTTTTAGAAGGTTATTAATTATTGACACTGTTAAATATAGGCCTATTCAGATTATTTCTCCTTGAATTTTGGTAGATTGCTTTTCAAGGAATCGGTCCATTTCATCTCAGTTATCAAATTTATGGGCATAAAGTTGTTCATAATATTCTCCTATTATCCTTTTAATGTCCATACGACTTATAGTGATGGCTCCTTTTTCATTTCATTTTCCTAGCAGTAATTTGTGCCTTCTCTTTTGTTGTAATTACGTCTGGCTAGGGGTTTATCATTTGTATTGATCTTTTCAAAGAACCAGCTTTTGATTTTGGTTTTCTTTATTGATTGCTTTAAATTTCATTGTTTTCTACTCTTTTTGTTATTAATCCTCACCTGAGGATATTTTCCCACCGATTTTTAGAGAGAGTAAAAGGGAGAGGGAGAGACAGAGAGATGAGCACTTACTCATCTAAGAGCTTTCTGGTGCTCTCTGCATTTGGGGGCATTCTGGTCCTGTGCTCCTGCGCAAGGGTGAAGGCTTGGGAAGTTGGGCTGGTCCAGGCACCACCCTCTGGGAACAGTAGGCACTGGCTGGCCCTCACACACACTGGGGCTCTGGAGACAGAGGAACCTCCCAGGTGTGGGAGGTTGTTTAGATTGTGAGAGCATCACCCATCCACTGGCCTTGAGGACCAGGTGGCCCACCTCTTCTCCTCACTGCCCTGCACGCAGTCTTTAAGTACACTCTTGGTGTGCGAGCCAGTCCTCTGGTGCCAATAGCTGGTGGACCCAGGCAATAATTCTGGAGGAATAGGAGAATAACATGGGCAGCCAGTTTTGTCACTGGTGTTAACGAGTACTATAGGCTTGAAATACAAATCAATGAAGGATAACTGTGCTGTGGTGGTTTTTATTTTTAATGAGGCCTGGCCTGTGATCAGGCTATCTTCCCCGGTTGCCACTACCCACCCCCATCAGGCAATCAGAACCTGCCCACTGGGGTAAGGGACTGAGAGGTTGGCCTGCAGCTCCTTCATTGTCCGCTCCCTCGTGATCAGTGTGTCAATAGTGACTGGTCTTACAGCTGTTCAGTCGATTTATATTACCCTTCTATTATATAGGTTGTTTTTATTGAATTCAGGAAGAGGGAGAAGCATCAATGATAAGAATCATTGATTGGCTGTCTCCTACATGCCCCCTACTGAGGATTGAATCTGAAATCCAGGCATGAGCCTGACCAGGGGAATAGAACCATGACCTCCCAGTTCATGGGTCAATGCTCAATCACTGAGCCACACCAGCTGGGATGTTATTGTCTTTTAATTAAGACTCAGGATTGCATTGTATCATAAAATGTTCTGTACCAAAATAAAGCTTAAAACTATGTGTTTAAAAAAAATAACAAAAAAAGGAGCAATAGGCAGAAAGGATGAAACAAAACTATTACTTATAGATGGTATAATTTTTAACCACAAAATAGAACTGAGAAATTACTGAAAATTAAGAACATTCAGTGAAGTGGCTAGTTTCACAAATATATAATTAAAAATAACTTTCCTATATAAGAGCAATAACTAGAAAAATATAATAAAAAACTATTTACAATATAAAATGAGAAAAATGTAGTCAGGAGTACTTTAAGTGAAAACACGTTTCTGGTTGGGAAACAAAATTTGTAAACAGATTTTTCTAAGTAGTTTAGAGAATTAACTTATTTCAATCAAAATACCAATGGAAATTTTTAGGAAAACCAAAAGGAGCAAAACTGAACAAGAATCCTTAAACTCACACATCATAGGATCGGTCCCATGGCGGCACCACAGGCCTTGCTTTGAGAAGGTAAGTCAGGAAAGTTTGATATCAGGCCAAAGAGAACAAATATCTATGACAGTGAAGACACAGGAATCCTGTCTCTCGAGGGACAAGGTGACCTAATTTCTACAAATAAAACACTTTGCTTGTGAGGTAGTGACCACTCATTGCCAAAGTCCTGATAACTGCTTAGAGGGGAATTAAGCATATGGTGAGGTTATTGAGTCACGATGGACCCAAGCCAACGTGTTCCTCCTTCTTTTCAGGCTCTTGGGGTTTCCTTCCTAGTAAGTCTTCTTGGCTCAGCAGAGGAACAAGGTTCTGAAGAGGTTTTCCAGTAGAGGGGTTGGGTGGCTGGATCAGTGATCCAAACTTCTTTTTTTGGCAAGGGAAAGGCATCAAAGTGCAGTTTGAGCAATTGCTAGCTGAACAAGAGTAGTAAAAGTAGTAGACATTTTAAAATTACATTGTGAAAAACATTTTTATAAAAGTCCATTTTCCCCATAAATTGCAAACTGACAGATCACAAATAATAAGCCTTTTTGATATTCAATTGCTATGTTTTCCTATATTCTAAAGCTAACAATCTCTTTCAACACTCAAGCTTTGAGAGGGTGTTCTTAGAGGGTTACACGAATATAAGATGTTGGCTTAACAATCAGTAGTTTGGGTCTTTCAGGAGAATACCAGTCCAGAAAAGGAACTTTGCATTATTTCTCTTTTCTCAAGTGTGTAAAAGTAGATATACTTTCAGTACACAAGAATTACTCTGTTCATTTTGCAGGTAAACAATTTCCACACTCATATTTGAATCTTTTCATAGGAAAGAGATCTGTGACTTGTACATTGTTGTATAAGCTCATAAAGAAAAGCTCCTTAGTCTCAAAAGCCTGGCTGCTATCTGAGGTATAGGGACATTTTCTTCCCTGTGTATTTTCTAAAAATTTGAGGTTTAACCAAGATAGGTATTTATTCAATTTGGGCTATTATGAGGGTTTCATATTTCTGTATCTTTCCAGACAGCATGGAAATTCAGAATTTCTTATGAAACATTTCATGTTGAGGCAGGACCATCAGACCTTTCCCGATCACACTTCTGCTTTCGGGTCTTACATGCTGAGTGGGTTTTCTCATGCCGTGTACAGTTTGACAGCCGACCAAATCTTCTCCCACATTTTTTGCAACCATATGGCCTCTCAGCCACATGACTCTGCAGATGAAGCACAAATTCTTTGTTCTCTGGGAAGGTTTTCCCACATTCTGGACATTTAAATACCTTCTTCCTTAGATGGATTCCTTCATGGCGACTACGATGAGAATTTTGACGAAAATTTTTCCCACATTTTGAACATGAATAAGGTTTCTCTCCTGTATGGATTCGCTCGTGTTTATTAAGGTTTGTTTTATGATTGAAGCTTTTCCCACAGTGACTACAGTCATAGGGTTTTTCTCCAGTATGAGTCCTCTGATGGGAAATAAGGTAAGAACTTTCATTAAACTGTCTCCCACACAGTGGACAAGTGTACCATCTTCTTGATCTCCGATTTCGGTTAAGCGCAATAATATTGACATCCACAAATTTTGAGAGGTCTTCTAGTGGAGTATCATTTTCAATGGTAATTAAAAGATTTCTCACTTTCCTTTCATTTGGAATGGATGTATTTATTATTTTTTCTTTATGGCAATCTGGAGATTGCTCAGAGACCACAGAACAATCCATTTCATCACAATCTGAAGAATCTTCTCTATAATCTTCACCCTCAGGATTATTGCCATTGGCTGTTAAAACAAAAGAAGAGAATTTAGTAACTTTTGAGGGATATGATACCAGGAGGGGGAAAAACAAGTTTGATTTCTCATGAAATAACCTTAAAAATCACAAATCTGAGGACTGGTAGATAATTGCCACCAACATTCCTTTTATACTCTTATTAAGGGTCGGATACATGACAAATCTTTTCATATCCCACAATATAAGCACACAGTACTCTTTTTATGTGAAAGAAAAAATGAGATTATACTAAAAGACTTTATTTCACTCAATGAGTTCATATTGAACTTATATGTGTAAAGCATTGAGCTAAGTACTAGGGGATGAAGAACATAAATACTGAAGGGTACCACTCGTAATCTTTAGGCTAATAAGTGAACGGTAATATGACTTACTTCTAGGTTCTCACTACATTAACTGTTACAATATTATAGCATTAGATAATATTATAATGTCCATGTAGTAAAAAACCATAAACAATTAAAATACCCTAAAATAGAGAAGATGTAATACATTGACACAATAAATTATTACTTGGGAATCAAAGTGATTACTACAACTGATAAAACTATGGTAGATAAAACTATGGTAGAAGCCAACAGTGGCCTTTTGGGAAGAAGAAGAAAGTAGTAGCAGTAACTAGGTGGAGCACAATAGGAATTTCTGCAGTGGTAGGAAGTCAATTTTGGGTGGTAGTTAGACAAATGTGTATGTTTTGTGAAAATTTGAGTTATACATTTATTTGTAAACTTTTCTGCATTTTTATTATAGTTCAAAACAACAAAAAGCCTGTAAGATAAGATTATAAGGACTAGGTAGCAAAGTAAAAAACTCTATGCTGAAAATAGATTGAGTGACAAGGGACCTCTAAATTCTGGCCAACTTACTGAGAATAAATTAAAAAGGTTAATTTAAATGCTTAGGCCTCAGCAGTTGAGCATCAACATATGAACCTGGAGGTCAAGGTTCGATTCTGTCAGGGCATCGAACATGCCCGAGTTTCGGGCTCAATCCCCAGTGTGGGGCATGCAGGAGGAAACTGATCAATTATTCTCTTATCGATGTTTCTAGCTCACTCTCCCTCTTCTTTCATCTCTGAAATCAATTTTTAAATCAACTACTTAAGATATGTGGCTGAGCGGAAACCGATTTGGCTCAGTGGATGGAGCATCGGCCTGCAGACCGAAGGGTCCCGGGTTCGATTCCAGGCAAGGGCATGTACCTTGGTTGCGGGCACATCCCCATTAAGGGGTGTGCAAGAGGCAGCTGATCGATGATTCTCTCTCACTGATGTTTCTGACTCTCTATCCCTCTCTCTTCCTCTATAAAAAAAATCAATAAAATATATTAAAAAAAAAAAAAATATGTGGCTGACCCAAAAGCTGGAATGTGAATTTCTACTGGATTTAGTAGTTTCACACACTAATGGATTTATTCTATTTAATTATTCCCTTTATTTCCTTAGGATAATGAAAATGCTGGGTAAAGCCTATGCCAATTTTCATCACAGGTCTTTTTAAAAAAATATATATTTTATTGATTCCCTCCCTTTCCAATATTTCTTATTATTTTTTATACTTTTACTGATTTTAGAGAGGGAGACAGAAATAGAAACATCAATGATGAAAAAGACTCATAGATTGGCTGCCTCTTGCACGCCCCCTATTGGAGATCGAGCCTGCAACCTGGGCATGTACCCTGACTGGGAATCAAACCCAGGACCCCTTGGTCCACGGGACAGTGCTCAATCCACCGAGTCACCACAGCTGGGCAATATTTGTTCTTTTTAACCCCTTTTTCTTGTTTTAGAAAACCTAGTTAATGATATTGTGAAAGCAGGTTTCTTTATTTTGTTCTGTTTTAAAGAATTACCATTAGTGTTTTATGAATGATTATACATGTTTGGTTATATTAAAGGACTGTTTTGAGGACAATTTATAGACATTCATGGTTTTTCTTTAATGTACTAATTTTTAAAATTAAAAAAAAATTTAGTAGCTACTATATTTATATTGCTCAAAAATCAAAACATAAAAAGGTATGCAATGAGAAGTCTTAATCCAATCCCTATCCCCATCCATTCTATTCATCTCTCAGAGTGGTACCAGTTTTTATTAGTTTCTTTTTAGTCTTCCATTGTTTCTTTAGGCAATACATTTTCTTTCTCTCCCCCATTCATTCATATATATATATATATATATATATATATATATATATATATATATTTTTTTTTTTTTACAGAGAGGAAGGGAGAGGGAGAGAGAGAAACATCAATGAGAGTGAAACATTGATTAGCTGCCTCCTGCACACCCCCTTTTGGGGATGTGCCTGCAACCAAGGTACGTGCCCTCGACCAGAATCGAACCTGGGACCCTTCAGTCCACAGGCTGGTGCTCTATCCAATGAGACAAACCAGTCAGAGCTCTCCCTCTTTCTTATATAAAAGATAGTATACTATATATTTCTGCTTGTTTTATTTCAATCACTATTTTCCAGTATATAGAGATTATCACAATATGACGTGTGGACATATCATAATCAACCCTGCAGACACACCTGGATTGTTTTCAACCATTGTTTTTAGAAACAACACAATGAATAACTACTTACATCATTTTGAATATGTACTGTTGCTGTGACCTGTAGATCAGATTCCCAGAAGTGGGACTGCTGGATCAAAGAGTTAATGCATCTGTAACATGGGTAATTACAGATGCATTAACTCTTTGATAAGGATTGTACTATTCCGTATACCTACCGGCAATATAGCTGTCTCCCAACAACCTCACTACCAAAGTGTTGCTACAATACTGATTTATGTAAATCTGGTTTTAACAAATGGTAACTCAGGCCCTACCTGACTTGGCTCGATGGACAGACTGACGGCCTGCAAAATAACGGATCCCGGGTTTGATTCCAATCAGGGGCACAAGCCTGGCTTGCAGGCTTGATCCCAAATAGGGGGCATGCAGGAGGCAGGCAATCAATGATTCTCTCTCATCATTGATGTTTCTATCTCTCTCCTGCTCTCTTCCTCTCTGAAATCAATAAATATATATTTTAAAAATGGTAACTCAGTAGAGGTTTAATTTGTATTTCTAATTATGAGTAGGACTGGACATATTTTCATGTATTTATTTTTATTATTATTATTTTTTAAATCAATCTTTATTGTTCATATTATTACAAAGGTTCCTCATTTCTTCCCCCCTCCACCAGGTTCCCACCCCACCCTCCGCACCCTCCCCATCCCTCATTGTCCTCATCCATAGGTGCAGTTTATGTTCAGTCTCTTCTTCCCTCCCTTTCCCCAATAGTAAATCCCTTTTCAGATAGTAAATCAGTTACTTAGCATTTTCTCAAGTCAATAATACCTCCACATGCCCAATGATACACTTCACACAAAAGACATTTCCCAATAGGTCCACCAGCCTCATCCAGGCCCCACCCAAGGCACTCACAGATCAACACACCAGCCCTAAACTAACTCAACACATCCAGATCTAAACCTTCATCACTTGATTCAGCAGACCCTCAAGTTCCCACGAAAGTTTCCAGCCATGTCTGAGAAGCAGGCGTGGGGCAGGGGCAGGCAAGGAGCGAGCTGTTCCGGGCCTGGCTGCTCAGGGCCTGGCCTCTGTTGCTCTGGTTCGTTCCACAACCAGCTGCTCCGGGTCTGGTCACTGCCGCTCCCGACCTAGTTGCTCTGGACTTGGCTGCTGCTGCTCCGGGCCTGGCCGCTCCCAGCCTGGTAGCCGCTGCTCCGGGCCTGGACGCACTCGACCTGGCTGCTCCCCCGGGCCTGGCCGCTCCCAGCCTGGCAGCCGCTGCTCCGGGCCTGGCCGCACCCGACCCGACTGCTCCCCCGGGCCTGGCCGCTCCCAGCCTGGCAGCTGCTGCTCCGGGCCTGGCCGCACCTGACCCGGCTGCTCTGGGCCCGGCTGCCCCGGGCCCGGACGCTCCGAGCCTGGCCACTCCCGACCTGGATGCTCTGGGCTTGGCTACTGCTGTTCTGGGTCTGGCTGCTCCCACCCCGGCTGCTCTGGGCCTGGCTTCTCCGGGCCCGGCCACTCCGGGTCTGGGTGTTCCTGGACTGGCCACCCTGGGCTTGGCCGCCTCCGCCTCAGGCCTGGCTGCCACTGCCCCAGGAGTGGCTACTCCAGTGCTGGCTGTTGATGCTCTGGTTCTGGCTGCTGTTGTTCTGGGGCCTGGCCGTTGCTGCTCTGGGCCTGGCTGCCACTGCCTTGTGCCTGGCCACTCTAGGCCTGGCCGCCGCTGTTCCAACATTCTGTCCTTTTTTTTTTCTTTTTTCTTTTTAAAACGCATTTATGTTGCAATGTTGGCTGGTGAGTTGAGTTCTGACTTAGTCTTTGATTTTTTAAGATCTTCTTTGTATTCTTTCTTAAGTAATTTTACTATTTTTTGCTCTCACTTGATTTCTTCACATTGAGAACTTCTTTGGTTTCTTCCTCCTTGTCCTGGGAGCTCAGCAGGTTGGCCTGTGGCACCCCTTTGTTCTCCGCGGGCTCCTGCGCTGCTTCAGCCTGTTGCCGGGACGGCGCCGCCCAGGAAGCAGCCCCCGGCCTTGGCTCCATTGCCCGAGCTCAGTGGTCAAAGGCTCAGGGGCACCCACGCCCCCAAGGGTCCCGTGGCCCGCCTCCTTGCTGGTGCCCGGTTGGCTGGCGTCCGGCAGGGGCTTCCGCTCCCCTCCGCGTTCCCCCAGCCTGGAGCTTTTTTTTCTCCTTCCCGCTAGAGAAGTCCAGCATCAGAGTCAACAGACTGTCCTCTGCGCGCAGTTTGCGCGAGTCCCGGGGGCCCGGCCTTTCGCCGCTCTCCCCGGACTCCACCTCACAGCCCCGTCTCCCTCTGCCTGAGTCTGGGTCACCAGGGATTAGCCCAGAACTGGGGTTCGGAGCAGTTCGGTCTGAGGCCCAGCGCCGCCGGAGGCCTTGTTTCTTCCGGCTAGGGCAACCCAGCATCAGAGTCAACATTCAGTCCTCTGCACGCG